GCAAATGAAGAAGAATTGAAAAGCTGTCTTGTCTTCTCAATTTCTGATTCTAGCCTTTTCCTTAGTTTCGCAATTTTTTCTGCAAATCATTAGAAACTGATGCATGTCAGCTTCAATAAAATACTTTAATTTTGATGATCCATCAATTTCTTTCTTCAAATCATGATTAGGGTTTCATCAGTAAAAAAAGTTGGGGTGGTTCTTGACATGAATTGGCATGTATATATGTGTAAATGATCAAGACTTATGTAACTATCTGTCTAGTGAAACTTGGGACAAAGCCTAACTATGAGTTGTCACTAGGGATCGATCTCTTGTCAACTCTCTTTTTTTAACATTTATTAATGTTTAGTTCTTACAACGATATAATTAGAGAGCGTGTAAGCATAACATTGTAAATGCAGTTCTTAGGTTTCTATTCTAAAATGGGTGGCTAACTTTTATATCTATTTTTTGTTTTAGAAAACTCATATTTTCTTTAGCTTTAGAGCCTAAATGGTATTTGTATGTTGTTTTTATTACCCATATATTGTCACTGGTCTATTCTAACTTCACTACATTTTGTCTACTTTTACTAGCACTTCAACAAAAATAAACACCAATGTACCTTGAAATTATTGTTCAACTGAATTTGTAAAAAGATTGCTATATATCTCCAATATTCGTACAAACAGCTTGCAATATAGTATACACTAATTCAAACGCATTAGCTAGGTTCCAATTTAGTATTTGGAAAAACTGGTATAATATATCTTTGTTCTCCTTGATAATCTCATTTTAGTTTTTTTTTTGTTTAGAAAAAATAATCTCATATTAGTTGTTGGTGATTTTCTTTCTTTTTAATGACAGTTAAAGAAGGCTTCGAACAATAAACACACATATGACTTTGTCTAACATTATGTACGTAAAATTATGGATTAAATTAAAATAAAATACAGGTCTTTTTTTTTATATACATAGGAGATGAGTATATAATGTTGCATTGATATATATTAATGAGAGGGAGAAGACTCAGAAGTGTCGGAAATCAAAAGGGTACGAGCCAATGGGAATCTCTTGCATTCTGAGCTCATCAATTTATTTGTTGTTCTTTTCAGTATATAAAAAAAAAAATTACTGATCTGTAAAACATATTTTGATGACGTTGAGTCATA